GAGGATCAAGTAGAAATCCCTACAATTGCACACTGCCACCCCAGCCAAGATAGTAAACTAGAAAAAAATATTGCATTCTGAGTGGAATTGCAGAGATTAGCACCATCTTCAAACACTTGAAGGATGCAGAAGTGGTACCCTCTGCATTCACCTGTATCACCCTGCTAAATCACAAGGACCATGGTAGAAGACAAAGGACTATCATAAACTTGACCAAGTGATCATGCCAATCATGGCTCCTATGCCAGATATGATACCTTTCCTGGAACATATCAACACAGCCTCTGGCATGGAATATGACTGTTGATTTGGAAAACTTTTTTTCAATCATTAAGGACATCAAAAGTGTTTATATACATGGGAAGGATAGCAATGCATGCTAACCTACTGTCATAGGGTTATGTTAACTCTCTTGCTCTTTCACTATGTAGTCTGCAGGAATCTTGTTCATACTGATATTCCACAAAACCTCATGCTGGTAACTTGTATTGGTAAATCAGGCTAAAGATTAGTGAAGAGGAAGTGGAAGGGACTCTTGGTGCCTTATAAGATAGAAGATAGAAGACACAAGCTAGAAGATAGAAGATTCAGATCCTTGCAGATTTTAGGGGTCCAGTGGTCTGGAGAATGCTGGGACAGGGTAAAGGACAAGGTACTCAGCCATCAGAAAGGATGAATACCCACCATTTGCATCGACATGGATGGAACTGGAGGGTATTATGCTAAGTGAAATAAGTCAAGCAGAGAAAGACAATTATCATATGGTTTCACTCATATGTGGACTATAAGGAATAGTACAAAGGACCATAAGGGAAGGGAGGGAAAACTGAATGGGAAGAAATCAGAGAGGGAGACAAACCACGAGAGACTCTGGACTCCGGGAAACAAACTGAGGGTTACAGAGGGAGGGGGGATGGGAGGATGGGGTAACCGGGTGATGGGTATTGAGTGCACGTGATGTGATGAGCACTGGGTGTTATACACAACTAATGAATCATTGAACACTACATCAAAAACGAATGATGTACTATATGTTGGCTAATTGAAAATTAAAAAAAAAAGGACAAGTTACTGAACTTGCACCCTCTACCATTAAGAAAGAGTTATAGCATGTTGGGGGCTTTGGCTTTTGAAAGTCAAATACTGCTCTCACCCATTTGTGGGGAGATTTGGAAGGCTGCTAGTTTCAAATACAGTCCAGAGCACAGAAGGCTGTGCTCCTGGTTCAGGCTATGACATAACTTGCCCTGCTGCTCAGTTGATTACATGACAGATTATCCATTGACAGACACTACAGATACCTGAGGTAGACACTGTGTAGCATCTCTGGCAAGTTCTAATAGACAGCACAAGATCTTAGGTTCTGGAGCAAAGTCATATGCTTTCTCATTGTTTGAAAAGCAACTCCTGGTATGTCTCTGCATTTATCAGAAACTGAAAATCTGATGTCAAATGATTAACTGGAGCTGCCCATCAAGCGGTGGATATTATCAGATTCACCAAATCATAAGGTCAGATAGTCACAGTAGTAATCCATCATTCGATGGAAATGATGCATTTGGAATCAAGCCTGAGTAAGTCCAGAGGGCATGTGTAAGTTACATGGACAGGTAGCCTAGATTCCTTATAATTTACCTCTCTTGCACTAATGCATCTCCTTCAACCTATTCCTATGATCTCATCGGGAATTCCCTATGATCAGTTGTATCAGTTATTTATTGCTACAGTAATGCCATATAATAATCAAAAAAATCTTTATGAGAATCAATGATGAGCATTTGTTATTCACACATCTAAGGCCAGCTGGGAATTGGTAGGCATATGTTCTGGTCTTGGCTGGGCTTGCTCACATTTTGAGCTTGGCTGCCGGGTTTCTAGAACAACTTAGCTATGCTCCACATATCTTTCATTTTTCATCAGACTATCCCAGTTCTTATATCAGTGGCAGAGGCAAGACCAACCATCCAAGTATTTTTCAAGCCTCTGCTTGGATCACATTTGCTAACATTCTGTTGGTCCAGAGCAAAATCACATGGCTAAATTCAGAGTCAAAAGGTGTGGCAGAATGCTCCACCCAGAGTGGGAAGGCAATGCAAAATTATATGGCAAAAGGCATGGAAACAGGAAGAGGTGAAGAACTGAAGCTCTTTTTTGCAATATCAACATGCCAGGTGACAGATAAGGAAAAAGTAGGCCTTGTTCATGGACGGAGCAGCTTGATATGTTGGTGTGAGCCAACAATGGCTGGCTTCTACACTATTGCCTCTCTCAGAGGAGGCCATAGAGATTAGTGGTGAGGGAAAAAGCTTCCTGATGGACAGAGCACTTCAAACAGTACTCTTGGTCATCCATGATGATAGAGAAAGACATGGCCTGAGTTAAGAATAAAAAAAAAATCTTTTTGACTATGGCAAAATGTGCAGATTTTTGTATCATGGAATGTCAATGAGAAAACACTCACATGAGGAAGCAAAGATCAGGCAGACAGGATGATTCCAATAGGTTTCAGCCAGTCTTGTCCATAACCACTTCAGGCTTGCACAACAAACCCATGAATGGAGTGATCATGGTGACAGAGTTGGAAGCCATGCATGGGATGGGCCCAGTAGCTTCGATTTTTTTCTCATTAAGGATGATCTAGTTACTACTACTATTGAATATGTGATCTGTCACAAGCAGATACCAATGATTTGGTACTATCCCTTTATTAAAATCAACTAGTTACTTGGTAGCAAGTTGTGTGTGTTAATTTCCTTCTACCCCAAAAGAGAAAGTAATTCATTTGTATACTAATTAATTTGTACTCTTAATGTAGGTTTGCCCTCCTTTCCAGCAGTATCTCTGCCACCATTACTATCTGAAGGTCTACAGAATGCCTATTACCAACATAGTATCCTGCATTACATTGCCTCAGACCAAGGAACTGTTTCATAGCAAATGAAGAACATGAACAATTAGATCAATGAATCTACATATACAGCATTATCCAGAAGCAGTTAATCTAGGAGAACAATGAAATGACCTATTATAGGGTCAGCTTAGGCATCAGCTCAGGTATAATATCCTGTAGGATTAAGATCCCATTTACCAGGATATGATACATGTACTATACCAATGGCCAATATATGATGCCATGTCCCCAAATGCAAGGTTCAGGAACCAAGAGGATAGAAATAGGATTGGCCTTTCTTACCACCATTCCCAGTGAGTTACTTGTAGAATGTGTTTCCCATTCCTACCACCTAGGCTTTGCTGGATTGGAGGTCCTGTATCCTGACGGGGTAAAGGGAAGAAGCTCGCACACTTCCACCAGGAAGCACTGTAAGGACTCCACAAAACTGAAGCTACAGCTGCCAACTGGTCCTGTTGGGCTGCTCATGTCTGTGGGACAACAGGCAAGAAAGGGGAATTAATATGTTGGTTAACATGAGGAGCTAGGAATGTGACTACAAAATAAAACAGTGAGGATGTGTCTGGAACTTAGGTGATTCACTGGGGGCATGTCTTGATGTTTCCAAGGCTGATGAGAACAGCAAACAAACAATTGTGATAATCATAGCCTAAAAAAGGGCAAAGTAACCAAGACTTAGATCCCTGAAGGGATGAAGGTCTGGTTCACTCTAGCAGTCGACCATACTAGGTCAGCTGAATTTCTGGCAGAAAGCAATGAAAACCTCAAATGAGGCGGGGAGGAAGAAGATAATGAATATATTTTGGCCTTGGGTTCAGTAATAACAGGAACTGTAGCTTGTCTAATCCTTCTGGGTAGTCTTTTATAGAATGTGGCTGACCACCACCTTGAAGATTCAGTGATGGAGTGGACTTAATATGGGACTCAAGCAACTCTGCATAGGCAAGAACTATTCAGCAATACACACCTCTTTTGCCCAACATCACATCCCCTTGTCAACTTCTGCTATCAGCTACAAATGCACTTGACAGTTATGAGCTCAGACTTGTCGTTTTTCACTAGTGAAATCCCACCACAAGTGTGAGCCATGCATCTGTTTTCTGTTCCAAGTCCTTTCTCAATGTTGGAAGCCCACCTTCCCACACAAAAGTACAGCCCAGAAGTGCTGGGGTAATCAATGCTCCTGGAGGTAACTTTCAACTAATGGGGGATGGAAACTGGTTAATAATTATCCTATCTGTATTAGGTGGGCATTTTTGGGAGGTATTTTGTAAGCTCCTCAGGTCTTAGCCCAAAATGGCAACCTTAATAATATACTTTTGTATTGGTTTTCTTCCTCTTGCTCTTCCTGTTCTCTCACTTCTGCATCCTGTGATTACCTCACAAGTGACATACTTACACTCAAGTCCTTTTCTCAGGGTCTACTTTCAGGTGGGCTAAACTAAGATGAGCACCATTAATCAAATGCATTTATATATCTTTTCATGTAAGTATTTTAGAAATTTTCTACACTGTGTGCAAATAATTCTTCGTGAATTATTTGGTAAGGTGAGGACAGCATTTTAAATATTTTTTTTCTGTTTAGGCAATAAAAGAGTTGATCACAAGATGCTTGCTTGCTCTGAGACACATTGAAACTACCTTCAATTCAATTTCTATCTGATGATAAATATTTTAAAAATATCTGACACTTTAAGAGCATAGGAACTAATGGACAAGTGGTGGAAAGCTCTATATGCTAACAAATATGACCAATAAATTCCAAATTCACACTTTCTATGATATATAAGCTTCAAGTTGTCACAGAATATTTAAATCTGATATAAGTCTCTGTCAGAAACTTCTTAACTACTCTTACAATACAAATGCACATATTTTTCATGCTAAAACAGTCACAAAAATTGAATAACTCACTTAGCCAAATTCACTTTTTTTGCAAAGAGTCTATTATTGATCGCCAATTGACTTCATTTTCAATGCTCACTGCATCCCTGAAATATCCCATCTTAGTATTTGTAGCACTAACAGCACTTTATTTAGGTTATTCTATTTTTCAGTCATAGCCCTGTATTTTGGTAACAAGACATACTGCCAGGTTATAAACACTTTATTTTTTATTTTTTAACATAGAGGAAGTTTGGTGGTGGATATATGGCCAGTTGATATTTTTATGACTAGAGTTCAAGTTCAGGTTCTCTTTCTCATAGAATGTAATGTATACCTACACATGTATATGTAACTGTTATCAAAATTAAGCTTAGTCACTAAAAGAAGATTCACTGTCTGAAATTTCTTCTGTATTTTTTTCACCTTCACCATCAGGCACTGGAGCATCTGGCCTCCTAAAAGAGAAGGGAACAATTTTTAAAGGTTTTTCCAGCTGAAAAAAAGAATTTCCTAACTGTAAATTAGGTTCATCCTAGAATATTGCTGATAATAAATCTGCCAAGTCTGCACCCTTAACTGAAAGAGTCTCCCGCTCTCCACAGCATGCTTCTCTTTGGTTTCTCCAGCACCATAAGGACCAAGTGCTGTTCCTGTATGGGCCACAGCACTGTTTTCTCTTGCCAGTCCTTACAGAATGTGCTACTTCAGCACTTTCTGCCTTCTCATTACCAGGGAGACCCAACTACAGATGGAGATGTGATGTAGAGAGGTTGGCATGCCCACTGCTACATCTCTGCAGCCTCCAAGTGTACAGGAGGCAGAGAGAAAGGAAAGCTAGAAATGGAAAGAAAAGGAAAATCTTCATGTTTCAGGAAAGCTGCAAAAAGAAATTTAAAAATGGAAGAGAGTGAAAGAATGGCTATTAAGAAACACAAACAATATGGAAATTTTGCAGGGGAGAAGAGGGTCTGGTAAAAGAAGGTTCTTAATGTTTGTTGAGTGTTTTCATTTATATTTTATCTTCATAGAATGAATGTAAAAAGTATGAGTTGGCAAAAAAAATGTCTCAAAGATTCCCTAGGCACAACAAAGAGTTATGAGAATGGTTAAACTCCAACTTTGCAGGGATATATTATAATAGACCAAATGAAATTTTAATGGTGTCATCAAAACAGTCAACTAGATAGGCTCTATAGTGTTTGTTAGTAAATCATTTAATCAATATAGTAATACTATTGTTCAGCCTCTCTTCACTCTTACGAAGAAAGTAAATTAAGCAAGTAAAGTATACTTCTGGGGAAATTAAGAAGGAAAGGAAAAATGATATAGCATTGAAACCTACCAGACTTATTTCTCCCTCAGGCTCTTTGATTCTTATTAAAGAATTAGGACACCAACCAATAAAACTTTGCCACAAATATAATTACTGTTACTCAAATTAAAAAATATACAATCTACCATTTAGTTATTAAGAATTATGGCTGAGGTTGGGCTTATGTTTTTTAATATTATATCTGTCATGCTACAAAACAGAGAAATGCTGGCATTGCTCCCAGCAATGGGTCAAACATAAACCCATTTGCTCTGCTGTACAATTTTAGATTATGCTTATGAGGAAGTCACATGTACTCAATATAGTAAAACTTTAAAGCTGGGTACAGCATGTCTAAGTTTTGACTGATATTCCATCCCTAAAATACTAACACAAGACCATAGTCTTCATTGTTCTCCATAGAAGCAAGAACTCTAAAATAGTGGGCATGAATACTGGAAACATTTTCCAAGTAAGTTTCTCTGCTATATAGGTGATTTCTTACTGTCTTTACTTTGTTAAAAAGGAAAAAATTACCAGAAGGAATTATTTGAATACTACATCAAATTATATCTATGGCAACTCAAACAAATAAAACAATGTATACGATGCCTCCAAAATAAATGCTAGTTAAGGGCAAAAGCAGCTTAAGCTTAGAAGGAGCTGGAATTATATACTTCATTTATGTGTGTAGCCATTTTTAAAAATGTGATCATCACAGCTGTATAGCATAGGGTTAAGAACACAGATTCTGGAGTCAGACTGTTTGGATTCAAATCCAGTCTTGCTACATTTTTGAGCAACTTTGGGGAAGCTGGGTAATCACTCTGGATCCAACTAATTGACTGGATTGTTATAATGATTAAAATGAGGGGTGCCTGGGTGGCTCAGTTGTTGAGCGTCTGCCTTCGGCTCAGGTCATGATCCCGGGGTCCTGGGATCGAGCCCCACTTTGGGCTCCCTGCTCAGTGGGGAGTCTGCTTCTCCCTCTCCCACTCCCCCTGCTTGTGTTCCCTCTCTCACTCTGTCTCTCTCTTAAAATAAATTTTTAAGAAATGATTAAAATGAATTATTATGTGTAAAGTATATCAAATAATATTTGGCACATAGTAAATATATTAAATAAATGCTATCTTCTATCATCATCATCATCATCATCACATACCCACCATTTTTCCAGGAACTGTGTTAGGTGCCGGAAATACAGAAATGAATAACAAGTAGTTCCTGCCCTGAAGAAGCTGATATTTTAGGGGAATATTTCAGAGGGAGACAGAAATGCAAATTATTATTATATAGTGTGATATACATGAATACAGTTGTAGTAACTATGCTTATGTGAAAAGAAAAAGTAATTCACTCTATGAGGTTTGGTCAGAGAAGATTTCAGAGTAGTGGAGACACTTGTGAAGGCTATTAGAATAAGAGTAGGAGTTTCCCAGAAAAGATGGGAATAAGTGGGGATGAGAGGGTTCTGAATAAAGAAAAAAAAAAGGGGGAATTCATGCCGCATTTGGGAACTATAAGTCATTTGGGAGCTAGAATATAAGGCAATTGCAGTTAAAATGTGATGACATTAGACCATTTGGCAGGAGCAATAGGTATGAGAATTTCCTTCCTATTTAAGGATGAATACTCCTCCTTTGTATGTATATACTACATTTTGTTTAGCCATTCACCTGTGGGTGGGCATTTGGGCTGTTTCCACCTTTATGCTACTGTGAATAATGCTACTATGAACATGGTATACAAATACATGTTTGAGTCCCTGCTTTCACTTCTTTTGGGTATATACCCAGAAGTGGAATTGCACAACCTTATAGTAATTCTATGCTTAATTTCTTGAGGATCTGCAATATTGTTTTCCATAGCAGCTATATTATTTTACATTCCCACCAACAGTGCACAAGGGTTCCATGTTCTTTGTATCTTTGCTAATACTTGTTATTGCTTGTCTTCATTCATTTAAAAATAAATTTTAGGCTACTTTGACTTGGAATTGCTAGGAAGACAAAAGAAAAAGCATACACTAGTCCCTTTTGGATATAAAAAAGAGAAAAACTTCAAGAAATTATGAGAATGAAAAGGGATAATGTGTATGAAAGTATTTTATAAGTTAAAAACTTTACATGAAAAACCCACAGCAAATATTATCCTCAATGGGGAAAAGCTGAGAGCCTCTCCCATAAGATCAGGAACACGACAAGGATGCCCACTCTCACCACTACTGTTCAACATAGTACTAGAAGTCCTAGAAACAGCAGACAACAAAAAGAAATAAAAGCTATCCAAATTGGCAAAGAAGTCATCAAACTCTCTCGCTTCGCAGATGACATGATATTTTATGTGGAAAATCCAAAAGACTCCACCCCCAAATTACTAGACCTCATACAGCAATTCAGTAATGTGGCAGGATATAAAATCAATGCACAGAAATCAGTTGCAATGCAACTGTAGAAAGAGAAATAAGAGAAATGATTCCATTTACAATAGCAACTGTAGAAAGAGAAATTAGAGAAATGATTCCATTTACAATAGCACCAAAAGCCATAAGATACCTCGGAATAAACCTAACCAAAGAGGTAAAGAATCTACACTCTAGGAACTGCAGAACACTCATGAAATAAGTTGAAGAAGACACAAAGAGATGGAAAAATATTCCATGCTCATGGATCGGAAGAATAAACATTGTTAAAACGTCTATGCTACCCAGAGCAATCTATACCTTCAATGCCATCCCGATCAAAATTCCAATGACATTTTTCAAAGTGCTGGAACAAACAATCCTAAAATTTGTATGGAATCAGAAAAGACCCCGAATCGCCAAGGAAATGTTGAAAAAGAAAAACAAAGCTGGGGGCATCACGTTGCCCGATTTGAAGCTATATTACAAAGCAGTGATCACCAAGACAGCATGGTACTGGCACAAAAACAGACGTATAGACCAATGGAACAGAATAGAAAGCCCAGATATAGGCCCTCAACTCTATGGTAAAATAATCTTCAACAAAGCAGGAAAAAACATGCAATGGAAAAAAGTCAGTCTCTTCAATAAATGGTGCTGGGAAAATTGGACAACCACATGCAGAAGAATGAAACTTGACCATTCTCTAACACCATACACAAAGACAAACTCAAATTCGATGAAAGACCTCAATGTGAGACAGGAATCCATCAAAATCCTAGAGGAGAACATAGCAGTAACCTCTTTGACATCGTCCACAGCAACCTCTTTCAAGATTCATCTCCAAAGACTAGGGAAACAAAAGCAAAAATGAACTTTTGGGACTTCATCAAGATAAAAAGCTTCTGCACAGCAAAGGAAATAGTCAACAAAACAAAGAGGCAACCCACAGAATGGCAGAAGATATTTGCAAATGACACTACAGATAAAGGGCTGGTATCCAAGATCTATAAAGAACTTCTCAAACTCAACACCCAAAAGCAAATAATCAAGTCGAAAAACGGGCAGAAGACATCAGACACTTCTCCAAAGAAGACATACAAATGGCTAACAGACACATGAAAAAATGTTCATCATCACTAGCCATCAGGGAAATTCAAATCAAAACCACATTGAGATATCACCTTATATTAGTGAATGGCAAAAATTGACAAGGCAAGAAACAACAAATGTTGGAGAGGTTGGGGAGAAAGGGGAACGCTCTTACACTGTTGGTGGCAATGCAAGTTGGTACAGCCACTTTGGAAAACAGTGCTGAGGTACCTCAAAAAATTAAAATAGAACTACCCTATGACCCAGCAATTGCACTACTGGGTATTTAACCCAAAGACACAGATATAGTGAAAAGAAGGGTCACATGCACCCCAATGTTCATAGCAGCAATGTCTGCAATAGCCAAATTGTGGAAAGAGCTGAGATGCCTTTCAACAGATGAATGGATAAAGAAGATGTGGTCCATATATACAATGGAATATTACTCAGCCATCAGAAAGGATGAATACCCAACTTTTACATCAACATGGATGGGACTGGAGGAGATGATGCTAAGTGAAATAAGTCAAGCAGAGAAAGTCAATTATCATATGGTTTCACTTACTTGTGGAACATAAGGAAGAGCATGGAGGACATTAAGAGAAGGAAGGGAAAAATGAAGGGGGGAAATCGGAGGGAGAGATGAA